ATAAAACATATTACAATACATGCACAGTTTCATTTTGATCAATCGGTCTCTAATTTTTAAATACCATGTAATTTTTAAAACACTATCTTTTCCTTTCATGCTGCACTTAGGCATTTTCTATCATTCTGTGTTCCTAAATTTTCAGCAAGTCCCAGATATATGCTCTGGTTTCTTTCCACACTCTATTGTTCATTGCACAAAGATTATTTCATTCTAAACATAATTTCAGTTTGTTTGATGCTATGGCTATTCATCATATGTGTTGTTTTGCCATATCTATATTTTTAATGTCCAGTTTATGTTACTTCAGCATCTCCTTGTTTTCTAAGATTCTTTTCTCAAGAATTTTAGCAAGCACATATACTCTGAATGACCATTTGAATTAAAACCTTTTGATTAGGTATGTTTCATTTGTACAATTATAATAATCTTTTCTTATTGTTATAACACGTTGACTAATTAATAATTAAGGCATTTTGCATGTACAGTGTCTCACTGTGGGCAACAAAATTTTAATAGTATTATTTGCTATGATGCTTTAAACTTTTAAAGTCATCAGCATAAGAAAATAGCTGCACACATTTATCTAATAAAACACAATTAAAAATTAATTATAATTGGTCTTTGTGGTTCCTAGTAATAAATCCTGTCTTTTTATCGTAGTGTAAATTATATTCTTATGCAATATGCAGGATTGCATTAATACCCAGTAGTTCTTAAACAATATTATCACAATAACCATATAAATCCCAAATGCGATAAAGGCTAACAATCTTTTTTCCTCATTGTCAGGAATTTTATATCATTTCTTTTAAAACAAAATTTTTTTTTTAAGAAAAGTTTTAGGTTCACCACAAAATTAAGAGGAACATACAGATTTCCCACATACCTCCTATCCCAGATATGCATAGCCTCTCCCATTATCAATATTACTCACCAAAGTGGGACATTTGTTACAACTGATGCACTTGTGTTGACACATTCTATTTAGCCAAAGTTCATAGCTTACCTCAGGGTTCACTTTTGTACATTTTGGGTTTGGACAAATGTATGAGATTTATTCACCATTATGTTACCATACAAACTATTTTCACTGCCTTAAAAATCCTCTGTGTTCCACTCCAATTACAATACTCTTTCTATTCACTCAAATATATACTATTCATTAAGCACTTAGAGTAACAAACTTTATTTCTTACATACATTATTTACAGTACAGTCTTCACTCAAAAGTACAATCAATCATTAGAGTGAAATATATTGCTATTAACTCATAGTGACTTGAATTTATTGTGTCTTATGGCTGTTCAAAGAAACAGAGACTTATATAGACCTGGACATGGTTAGCCAGTTTCAGAATCAACCAATGGGTTATATTCTGAGCAAATCAGAGGAAATATTTCTATTACCATAGAAACTGAAAAATTACAAGACTGACATTCATAACAATAGCATTCATCAATTGCTTGCTATATAACAGACAGCATTCTAGATACTTTACCTCCATCTTCACAGTGACTCTCTGACAGTACTTCTCAAATCATCTGTGGTCAAGTATCTAGCTTTGTTTTATTTGCAATCTGTTGCAGACAGATACTTTTGGAAGATACAACAAAAACAAATAGCTAGAAAAATGAACATTTTAAATGTCATGCAAAATTATATTAGAGTCAATTTAATTGCCATAAAATTATTCTGTCAAAAATTTTTTAAAGTTTCTATTTCTCACTTTTAATTTCTGACCTTTAACAAATAGTTCAGTGATGGCCACTGATATGCAGATCAAACCTGGAGTAGCACTATACTATACAAAACAGGAATTATTATTTCTACTGTTCTGTTGGAAAAAAAAAATGAGGTTTGAATAACTAAAGTAACTTACTTGAATTTTTTCAGATATTCAATGGGAAAGCCCAAATTTACCCAGCATTGATTTCAAATTCTGAAGTTTTAAGTAGGTATGATACACGGTTTCATAAATAATTCTAAAATTGTGCTGTCCAACATGGTAACTACTGGCCACATGTGGCTATTTAAATTAATGTAAATTATATCAAATAAATTTTATTTCTTCAGCTTTTCAGTTGCACTAGTGACATTTCATGTACTAAAAAGTCATGTATGGCTAGTGGCTACTATATTTCGATAGTACAGATAGAGGGAATTTGCATCCTCACAGAAAGTTCCATTGGACTGTGCCACTTTAGAATATCAATAATTCCACTTAGGGATCATTTATTTCATTTATAGGTTAGAATATATATGAAACTCAGAGTTTAATATGCTTTAATTTTTTAATTTGAGAAAAAAATTCTCAAGAAATAGATATAAGGATGGCATGGTCCTTGGGGGGAAAAAAAGCATCAAAATATTTTTAAAATATGTATACATACAAAGTTAATTACTTTCTTATATACCAGCAATGAATAAGTAGAATTTGAAATTAAAAACATAATACCATTACATTAGCATCTCCCAAAATGAACAACTTAGGGTTAAATCTACAAAATATGTGCAAGGTATATATGGGGGAAACCACAAAACTGTGGTGAAAGAATCAGAGTTAAATAGAGACATTTCATATTAATGGATAGGAACACTCTAAATTATTGAGATGTAGGTTCTTCTCAACTTGATCTATAGATTCAATGCAATCCCAAATTAAAATTCCAGCAAGTTATTTTGTAGATGTTGACAAATTGATTCTAAAGCTCATATGGAGATGCAAAGGACCCAGAATAGTCAATACAATATTGAAGGAGAAGAACAAATCTGGAGGAGTGACACTACCTGACTTCAACATTTACTATAAAGCTAGAGTAAGCAAGACAGTATAGTATTGACCAAAGAATAGACAAATAGATCAATGGAATATAACAGAGAGCCCAGAAATAGACCCACATCAATATAGTCAACTGATCTTTGACAAAGAAGCAAAGGCAGTGTCATTGTCATGTTTTCATGTTCAAGTTATGTTAGCATCATAAAATGAACTGGAAAATTTCCATCTTTTGCTATGACTGGCATAGTTTAAAACCTTGCTAGTCAAAGTATGGGCTATGGACGGGCATTGCTAACATCACAGGAAGCTTGTTAGAAATGCATAACCTTAAATATAACATAACATCTACTAAATTAGTAACTGCATTTAACAAGGTCCCCAGGAGTTTCCTATGTACATGTATGTTTTGGAAGCGCTATTTAAAATAATACTGAAATTATCTGAGCTGTTAGGTATGTGATCATTTTTCAATGGTAGAGCCTCCCTCACTTTTCTAATCTCTGTTCTTTGGTCTATTCAAGTTTTCCTTCTTTCTGAAATCAATTTTGGTAATGCTTATTTTGCTGGAATATTATTCACTTCTGTCTTGTCAATTCTGATGCCAAAGTTACTCTTAGTATCTATCGTCTTGCAATTCTTCTAACCTCTCTTATGTTTACAGTTATATCTATCATTTCAGTTGATGTCTAGCTTCTCCAGTGTACTCTTTCACTGACAGTCCATTCTATTTCACTAAACTGATCTTTTGTTTAGCTCCCTGGACCTAGAGGGTGCTGTAGTATGTCACCTGGATTCCCCTGTGGGACTTAGGCCCTCATTCTCCCTGCCTTGAATGTGGGTGGCTTATGACTCACAAATGAGTCTCTTTCTGGGATCCCCTTCCCTGAAGAGAGCCACCTTACTCAAGGACATACCCCCTCCCTGTACATAGCCCATAGGCACTGACTGATGCATGAGGGGCAAGCCCATCCCCCTTGCTTCAAGGCAGAACAACATTATAGGGCCATTTCCAGTCCTGGGTGTCCCATAGTTACTGCTAAAGCCTCTGTTACAACTCTACAGCAGTTTGACTTTTCCTTCTGTCCGCTTCTCTTTACTTCACCCATCACAACTCTTGTTCCCAAGAGTACTACCTAATAAATCCCCTGTACACAGATCTTAGGGTTGCAGAGACTATGGGGAAACAGACATACCACAGTCTCTGGAATGAGTTGCATTTTCCTTTGTCAGCTTTGAGTGTTAAGTCTGGTTGTAATGATAGCCTGAAATACAGTAGTGCCTCTGGTGGAGGACAGATATGCACTCTTGCCCTGCATGGGCTGGTGATAATCTGCCAGTGCCAGTGAGGCCCTTTGTCTCTGCGATCCCCCATCTCCCCATGCTCTCCCAGGCACAGGAAAGGGCAGTCAGGAGGACGAGGAGTTCCCACGTGGGGCTGATACCCACTCTTGTCTTGCTCCTAGCTTTCTGTAGTCCCCATATCTGGCTCAGGAGAAGCATATGGATGGGAATTAGGAGTGGAGGTCAAGAAATCTCATTCCGGTCACTAGATTGACAGGCTCTTACTCTGTGTTAATTTTTAAAATCCTTTCAATACAAGTAATCAACAACTTTCCAGATGTAGAATACTTAAATTATGTCCTTTAATTTTTATTATAACATTTTCATATAGAAGTTCACTGAAATTCAAAAGAGAAGGGTGAAAGATGCATGGGAAGAGGGAAGGGAGAAGAAGCATTTTGAGTTGATATTTTTTTTAAAGAGTTTTTTTGGGAATTGGAGGGGAGGGTAACAGCATTGGAGAATCGGGGAAGGGGAACAGACAGGTAGACAAATTGCTGTTTTGTTCTTCAGTCTAGTTGTGGAGGATGTCGCTTCACTGGCCCATGTTGGTATGATCATTGTGCTCTTCCCGGGTGAGGCAATCGGTCGCCGGTCATTGGTCGGCTGCTCACAGCAGCTCCCAGTAGCTCACACTGGCTATCAGCCGCTCACGCTGGCTGCCAGCCACTCATGTAGCTCACGGCAGTCCACTGCAGCCCTGCTGCAGCCTATGCCATCGCCGGTGACTCACAGCAGCCCAGCTCCAGGTCGAGCTGTTGTTCATCATTTTAGCTGTAGAGGGCGAGCGTCACTGGCCCTCAATGTGGGATCCGAACCGCAGCCCTGCTGCTCAGAGCTGGTGTTCCCAAGTGAGATCTTAACCAGCTGAGCCACTCGGCCGGCCCTTGAGTTGATTTTTTAAAGACAGATATACATATTTTTGTGGAGTTTTGGGGTTTTTTTTGGTCAATGTTACAACTGCTGTTCTAGCATGTTGATTCTTACCATATCTTGACACATATTTCTAGGACATCTCCCCAAGGAGCTGTGGAGAAATTGGGAATTGAACATGAAACTAATAATAACAATTTATAAACACAGGACCACGCATAGCATCCTGTACACAGAAGGTACTCAAGAAATAGCTTTGTTTTGATTTGATTTTTAAAATCAGAGTGAATCAACACATGAGGTTCCTTGGCAGCACTTTGAATAGACTTATTAGCATTATTCTACCTTTTTGTGCATTTTTTGGACAAATTATGCGTGATTATAACAGATAACATGTATTGCACATTTACTATGTGCCAGGTCTGTTCTAAAAACATTAATATTCTTAAAATATTAAACATCATTTAATATTTACAAGTCAGATGTAGAAGCAGAGTATTCCACGTCACATATTTCAAATCTTAAAATAGATACATTCTGCAATTTTAAAAAGGTTTTCATTTTCTCTAAACTTTTCCCTCAGTGACAACAAAAGTAATCCCTATGCTTGTCCTTTAAGATTGCAAGACATCCTAGTGAACAACGATAAGTAAAAGGAATATATAGCAGAAGAGCTCTTTCTGAGACTGGAGAGGACAGAGAGAATTCTGAACAGTGAAGCCAGTTGAAGTAACCTATTCCAATAAGGCATTTAAATTGAGAACAGTCTCAAGAATATTAGTCTTCGTCTATCTAATATATAGAGACACAAATGAAAATGTATACTTATAATCATCCCATTCATTTTTCTGTTACTTTAAAAATGTCCTTTTGGTATTACAGGAAAGTATGCTATTCAAAACACCTGCACCTGAGCTTAAAGATTATTGCTTTATCATGTAAAATGTACCATTTATTCTCTAAACAGTTTTGCTTATCTTTTTTGTTTTAAAGATTTTTATTGGGGAATTGGGGGAAGGGGAACAGACAAGTTGCTGTCCTTTTGTTCTTCAGTCTAGTTGTGGAGGATGTTGCTTCACTGGCCCAAGTTGGCACCATCATTGCGCTCTTCCTGGGTGAGGCAGATCAGTCGCCAGCTTCTGGACGGCCGCTCACTGCAGCTGCTGGCTGCTCATGTTGGCTGCTGACTACACACACGGTAGCCCATGGCAACCCACCTGACTTCGCCAGCGACTCACGGCAGCCCAGCCCAAGGTCGAGCTGTTGTTCAGCATCTTAGCTGTGGAGGGCAGTGTCACTGGCCCTCATATGTGGGATCCGAACCAGGGCTCTCTGGCGTCCCAAGCCAGCTCAACCAATGCGCCACTTGGCTGGCCCCCAGTTTTGCTTATTGAATTGGCTGTTTCACTTGTTAATTGGTTGTCTCAAGTAATAATATTCAAATGAATATCTTTAATTTCTAAAGGAATAAAGATTGGTAAGATTGCTTTTTTAGACAGAAGAGCCTTGGAATTTATCCTTTTCATATTGTGCGTAAAGACAAATCAAATCTATGGTTATAACAGAGTCCCTATTTTAAATTGATGTGTAGCAGTCTATTATAGCACGCATGGTGTAAAATTAGGTAATAATAGTGCTCTTTTTTTATAATTAGAGACGAGCAGTACTTTGCCCAACATCACAGAATAAGAACTAGAATTTGAATCCAGGTGAGTTAATTCCAGGCCTCAGAAGCTCAACTACAATTCTCTCCAGCTTCCCTAGAGCAAGACTCCTACCCCACCTAATAGCCACATGGTGAGTACAATTATTATGGGTTAGAAAGCTCTCCATACCCCATGAGTATCTCTAAAACTAAGCTACTGTGACTTCTATGCTCCTATGATATTTTATATACATTCCTCTGTTATGATACTTAACCCAACCAAATGAAACTAGGCATTTATGTGTCTCTCCCACTAGTATATAAATACTTCCAAGGCAAGAACCTGATTTTATTCATCTTCTACTTAGAGTGTCTAAATCATGGCTTACAGTCAATAAATTTGGCTGAATTAATATTTGGATAAGCACTAACCTGTTTTGTGCCCAACCAGGGGGTAGAGGTTTTTCTATATTTATTTTATCAACAAATATTCCTCACCTACTATGTACCAGACACTGTTCTAGGTATTAATATGTAGGAGTAAACAAAATAAAAAGTATCGTGCCCATCGACTTTAATTCTAGTGTGGAGATACATAATAGCTAATAAACATAATAAATAGTTTATATAGTCTGCTAGAAGGTGGCAAGTGCCGTGGTGAATTAGGGCAAAATAAGGGAGGTCAGGGTTTGGGGAGGAAATGGTTGAGGTTTTAAATAGTCATTGACAAGGAGGTGCCCTTTGAGCAAACCCAAAGGCGAGGGAATCAGCTATGGACGATCTGATGGAGTTAGAGCACAGCTGGTGCAAAGTCCCTGATGCAAGAGCATGCCTGGCTTGTTCAAGGAACAGCAAGAAGACCACTATTCATGGAGGGCAGTAAGAAATTAGAGCAACTTAAGGTCTTATAGGACAATTTAAGGACTTCGGCTTTACTCTGAGTACTGAGTAAAAGAGTATCGAGGAGGAATGACATGCTTTGACTTACATGATGCTGTGTTGAGTGGGCTATGAGGGGTTAAGAAAGGAGACCAGAGCAGTAATCCAGGAGAGAAACAGTGGTAGAAGGCAATGTAAGTGTCTTTGATGGTTTAAATGGAAGGATCATGCACAACATCAGTGGGTAGTCATATAGCAAATAACGATTCTTTAAAAAATAACTCTACATGTCAAGGTTAGTGGTTCGGTCTGACTCCTTCACTCTTCTATAAGCTCTTCCAGCTTGGAGACCAGGTGTGTCTTGTTTATTACTCCATCAATGTGCCCAGCATCTGGCATAGTTCTTGGCACATAATTGGCATTCAGTAAATAATGTTCAATAAAATGACAGGATGGTCCTAGCATCCTCTCTAATGCAGCTATGAATGGGGAAACATGACTTTCAGCCTATTTGTAATAAAAAACTATTGTACTAGGAACTCAACAATGCTCAAGTATAATTGCATAAAATTATCCAAGTCTTTAGGGTTTAATGATTTGTTTTGTTGATGATTAGTCATGTGGAAGACAGCATTTATTATTTATGAGTGATAATCTAAACAGAAAGGCTTAGGAGCAACAACAGATATTATGCTTATCTTTTCTCCTCTTTCTTTTGAACTACAACTGTAGGAAGAACAGTTTAACCAGCTATGTTACTTTTCCTACTCCTATTTTTCTTTGTTTCTTAACAACAATCTCTGCATTTTCATATTTACTTCTTTCTATGTTTGGATTTTTACTTCAGAAAAACCACTCTAATAGTCATCAAGAGATCTATGGATATATCTCCAAATTTCTTGTAATGTGCTGCTTTATATTTCATTTGGGAACAAAGTTCCCTTATAAACAAGTTAGTATCACTTAAAACAAATATATAACACAGTCGTAAATAGTGTGACAATACTGGTTTGCATCCACTGTTTAATTTTTAGTGTTCTGGAGGAGAATGATTAAGTCTTTTTTTAAAGATTTTTATTGGGGAATTGGGGGATGGGAACAGCGCTGGGGAATTGGGGGAAGGGGAACAGGCAAGTTGCTGTCCTTTTGTTATTCAGTCTAGCTGTGGAGGACGTTACTTCACTGGCCCAAGTTGGCACCATCATTGCGCTCTTCCCGGGAGAGGCAGATCAGTCGCCGGCTTCTGGACGGCCGCTCACTGCGGCTGCTAGCCGCTCACGCTGGCTGCTGGCTACACACGGTAGCCCATGGCAACCCACTGGAGCAGGGGCTGCAGCCTACGCCATTGCCGGCAACTCACAGCAGCCTAGCTCCAGGTTGAGCTGTTGTTCAGCATCTTAGCTGTAGAGGGCAGTGTCACTGGCCCTCATATGTGGGATCCAAACTGGGGCCCTCTGGCGTCCCAAGCCAGCTCTTAACCAACGGGTCACTCGGCCGGCCGGAGAATGATTAAGTCTTGGTATTCTCTCAATTACCTAGCATTTATTTGCTCATTTAACAAATATTTCTTGGCAGATAAAGAGGTAGTTGCTGGTGACACAGAGATTCTGCTCCCCTCCTTCCAGGAATATATACCTTAGCAAAAGACATTTAAACAAGCAATTTCAATTAAAAACAGTAAGAATTGTTATGGAATGCACAGCTGTGGAAAGGAAATTAACTCTGGGCATAGTAGCTTCAAATAATTCTTGCCAGAAGAGGAAAAGCTTGAACTGAAATATAAAGAACCTATAGGATTTAGCTCATAATCATAAAAGGATATTGGCATTTTCAAGGAACGGCTGTAGCTTGGCACGGCTGAAGAGGGGCAGGGATGGGCAAGATAACAAGGGTCCCTAGGCAGGGCACCATGATCAGTTTTGCACCTTTATTTTCAAAGTTCTTTCTAGTGGAAGGCAGACATATTGGATAGTCCAGATGACCTGTAATAAAGCACTTGAGCTGAGGCAAAGAATTATGCTTGCATATAATTGGTATTGAATAGTTGTTTGTTGAATGAAAAAAAAATGAATGAACAATAAATATAGCTCAATGTTGGTAGATGCCACACACATATATGCAGCTCTAGGAACAAAATACAAATGCTAGTAATTTCTTGAGAGAAAGGACTTGAGAGTGCTGACATGGCCAAAAGTGCACTTTAGAAAAATTATTCTGGCTGTCATGTGCAAGGTGAACTGAAAAGGGAACAGAGTGGAGCAGACAGTAGCACCTGGTCAAGGATGCTGCAAAGGGTATGAAGACGAGGGGATGCATTTAAAAGGTACGTTGATTATGAAACTATTAAGAGAATTAGGGTTGTGGCTAGAGAGGGATGAAGTGTTGAGGGATTTTTTTTTTTTTTTAAGGTGCTGCTTGTATCCTGAAGGGAAGGAGTTGGATGGAGGGACATAATAGAAACTTAGCAGAAGGAGGGGGTAGAAGGTGGGATCTGGAGTTTAGAGGCTGCCTTCACTGGCTCTGTGACTGGAGCAAGTTACATAAACTCTTTGAATTTCAGTTTATTCACTTATAAAATTGAGATAATTTCTATCCTCTGCAATTATTGTATGGATTAGAAAATATGTATGTAGAGCCCTTAGAATAAGTAGGTATCAACAAAAGTTGGGCGGCCAGTTAAGTAGGAGTGTGAGCTTTGAACAACAGGGCTGCCAGTTCGGTTCCCACATGTGCCAGTAAGCTGTGCCCTCTACAGCTAAGATGGCGAATAACGGCTCGACCTGGAGCTGGGCTGCCGTGAGCTACCTTGAGTTGCCGGCAGCTGGCGAGAGCTGCTGTGAGTCGCGTGTGAGCCATGTGTGAGCCGCCGTGACTGGCCGTCCAATGGCCGGTGACTGACTGCCTCAGCCGGGAAGAGCACAATGATAATACCAACATGGGCCAGTGAAGCGGCATCCTCCACAACTAGACTGCGAACAATGAACAGCTTGGGGTGGGGGTGGAAGGAAAAGGGGGGGAAAAATAAAGATTAAAAAATTAAAAATAAAAAAGTCAATATAGCTATTATTATTTTAAGAGTGTGACTTTCAGATAAAAGACAATAAAGGGGTGTAGAAAATTTGGGGTTTGAGGTGGGGAAAAAAGGGAAAATTAAGTGAATTCACATCTAGTTTTCAGTGAAGGTGTCAAGAAGAGAAGGAGAAAGCGTCCTGGGATAGGACTTTGAAAGAGAGTGGTGAAAACTTACAATAGCTACAGGGACCATTCAAAGAAGAAACTGACCAACCGCAGGCATCCAAAGGAATTTCGGATTGGTTTGAGGGATCCAAGTACTGCCCCTTTCTTTCGCATAAAAAAAAAGAAAATTAGTGTAAGAGTTAGAATTACTATCTTCTCCTACACTAGAATTATTTTATTTTTTTCTCAACTATTTTAAAACCTACCCAGAGGAGACCTTTTTAAATTGTTGTTAAGAGGAAACTATTATAGTAGAAATGGAAGATGGGCCATAGGAAGAGAACACATTATGGAGAAGTCTTTCCTTTAGAAATATTTCATACTTGGTTTCTAACTCTAAGACTTCTCTGATCCTTTATTATGCTAATTGTAGGCATTATGAGACTAAGTACAGCTGATGAAGTATGTGGTGTTTCCCAAACATTTTTGGCCACAGAACCCTTTGTTTTGTACAGACATTCCTAGGGACGCGATTTAGAGAGGCTTGGTTTAGGAAGTATGTCTTATATGCGAGGCTTTCTTTTTTTCCTAGATACCATAATCTTCAAGATAATAAGGTCATTTTCCCCCAAAGTTCTCCATATGTGTCCATTACCAATCTATTCTCCTTGCTGGTAAGATTAAAATTCAAGCAGTCCCTTAGTTCTTCTAGTCATGGTCTTCAACTGGGGTTGGTCTATGTTTGAAAATATGTGGTGGTGTGCCACGTGCCACCAGGGAGGTTAACTGCTCTGCAATGAGCCAGACAGTCCCCAAAATGGAGAATTACTTCATGTTTTTCTATGATATAAAATTGTCAGCAAGAAAGTCAAGAGATTTTTAACTGCTGTATTACCGATTGAACAAGACTTCTGCACATCTTAGTTCAAGTCACCTATCACTCTTATTATCTTGTCTCTGTGGTGGGTTATGAGTTTTGCAAAAAGATGTCACCCACTTTCTCAACTGAACCACATGACCTATGTATAATATACTTCTGCAAAGATACTGAATATCAAAAAGTAGCTTTATGACCTAAGTGCTTCCCACTCAGTCTACTTGCTCCATACCCTTTCCCTGGCCTGCCATAAGCTTCTAAGGACCTATTTTTGAAAACTGTCAAGTACTACTATTTTCCTCACTTTACATTAGAGGAAATGAGAGGTTCAGGAAATTGAATCTTCAAGGTCACAGAGATAGCAGGTGTAGCTTCAAATTCAAGCATTCTGGCTCCAAAACTCAGCTGCTTAACCATTACTCAAAAATGCCCAGTATTTCATTACTTTTTTCAGTCATACTTGGCTCCTTTTATGTCATTGTGGAATGCATCCTAATGATTTCTGAGTTACTTTCTCATCCCGAATGTCTGAAACTGTTTTATTCTCAGATTACTCACTATAAATGTTAGCAAGAGCATGTCACTTAATCTTTTTTGCATCTCTCATCAACACAAAGCAATTTTGCCAGGGACTTACTTCCCAGTGTCTCTCTTGATATTAAATTTAATAATTTAATCAACAGTATTTACACTTTTATTTTCAAAATATATCGCTTTTGTTAAACTTGATTACAGAGACCTTAACCTAGGCAGGAACTGAGAAGGCCCATGGGACAAGCTCTCATACCCTGGTTGTCCTGCAGCCCTACAAGAACTCTCTGTTGACAACATAGCTCCATGGTTGTAACAGCTCCTCCCCCGTAACTTTCTCTCTCTATATATAAAATACTTCCTCCATCTTTGTCCAATCAGAACCTCCAGGAGGCTTGCCACTAACTGACCATCTTCTATGGATGGATAATTAAGCTGTTTTCCATTCTTTTGCTATTAAAAATGGCAAAAATAGGTATAACGAATATCCTTGCTCATTCTCACATATGTAGGAATACAGCTGAAGGATCAATTCCTACAAGTAAAATTGCTGAGTCCTTGATATATAACACTAAGCTGCCATCTAATAAAGTGTCCTCAATTTAAGAGAGTAAAACAGGCTTAACTTAGAGCATTTATATTGGTGCCATCTTTTCAAGAATCCTTCATTACGGTAACACTAAATAAAACCACAGATTTTTTTTTTATCCACAGATATTAGGAGGTAAACTATTTAGGACTGTTTTAGGCCCTCCTGCTAAGCATCATATCACATAAACATACCCATGCACAGTTATATATAACTCTTGAGATAAGTTGCAGTTAACAACGTGTAATATTTTTAACAGAAGAACATCAATTAAATATATATTAATATCTATTAGTGTTTTGGAGTTAATTGATTTTCCCCTCAGGCATACACACATTGCTAGGCCTTGCAGGCCCTGAGGCCCTGCTCTTCCAGTGCTTAAGGGCTAAGTGTGCCTGAAGATAATTTGAAAAGTAAATTACCTGTTCTTCCAATAAAATTTTAAGAGCTGTTTATTTTGCACTTTCTCCTTTCTTAACTGGTTTAATAAAATATCAGATCTTTAGCTAAGACTTTGCAGGAATAGAAATACCCCTCAGTATTCCCTAGTCCTAGAAAACAGTCACAATAGTAAATAGGTCAAGTCTGTATTGTTTAGGGAACAAGATTTTTGTTGTTTGTTTTAAAGGAGTGATCCTTGTGAGAGTTGGGCTCTGGGTATGGGTAAGTGGTGAACAGTGACAGGGGACAGTTTTCTTTTTCCTATAAGAATGTGGCAATGAAGGCATTTTTTGGGGGGGGTCAGGATTGGAGAATCCAATTTTCAAAGCCACACTATCTTTTTCATCAGGGAGAGATTTTCTGGGTGTTTCAAACGAAGATAACGATGCTTCAAAAAAAGCTTCAAGTTTGGGTAGCTCTTAGGAGGCTGCCCAAGTTCTTGGAGATTCCCAGTACAACAACTTGCCGTTAACAAAAATATGACCCTCACTCCTGTTTCAATCACCACCCAAGTACCGGGTCATTGCGTAGTTCAGTGTACCTTCAAAGGCAGGCTGTCCTCGGTTAATGAGAATCCAAGCTGCAGATTTCGCAGCTTGGGGCCCGGTTTTAGTAAGGGATCTCCACTTTGTCGCTCTTATCTGTCAGCACCGCCCTCAGGACAAAGGGTGGAAGGGGGAGGGTCAGGGGCACAGGCTGCAGTGAGAGGAGGCTATTTGTGTGGCCTACATGTTACTCGGTTTCAACACCAAGCCAGCCTTTCCCCACCTCTCCCTAGAACCTACGGCCCGAGGTCACACAGACGCCCGACTGGCTCCCAGGAACCACCGTGGCAGCTTACCCAGGGTCGGGATTCGGGGATATAGCCTGCAGGGGCCAACACCACGTGGAAACTCAGACTTCGCCTTCACCGAACAGTCTGCACGGGGAAGGGCGGTCCTGGTGACGCTCCAGGCAACGCCTCCACTGTCAGCCAATGAGGAGCGGAGACCGCGTCGGGATTTTTTTCGCTCATTGGGTCGTGCTGGCTCCGCCCCGCGGTGAACGCAACTCCCCCATCCCGCAGATAAAGTCCGCCACAGAACCACTGAGTCCGCCTTTTGTGTGCTTGCTTCTGGCTCTACGCCGTTCCTTTTGCTCCCTACTGACTGACTCTCCTGTGTCTCTTTCCAGCCCTCACGCACCGGTTCCCTAGTTTTATCTTCCTCGCTCTTTTCCTGTCTTCTTCCTTCTCAACTCAGCATGCAGAGCAAAGACGTCTCCCCACACGGTTTCCTGCCCAGCTTCCAACATTTCGCCACGCAGGCCATCCATGAGGGCCAGGAACCAGAGCAATGGAATTCCCGGGCTGTAGTGCCCCCCATCTCAATGTCCACCACGTTCAAGCAAGGGGCTCCGGGCCAGCACTCGGTGAGCTGGGTCTGCTTGGGGAGGTCCAGGGTTGGGCAGGAACAGAGAGACGGCTTACAAATTAAAAAGGCACCCAAGTAATTTATAAGATGGCTTATACTATCGGAGGCAGCCCAAAGGAATGTTTAACACACCTGTAATCCTCCTTGCAGTAAAACTTTGTATTGGATGGTCCAGTGATCATATTTCTTCTGATAAGCAGGACTAGAAGGAACAGTTTGTCCAACTTGCCATCTAGATTGCGCTGAAATTCATGTGAGTTTGGCAAATTTGCAGTTAAAAACTGAGGGTCATAACTTCTTGAATTACCTTTAACAGCAACAGTTATAAAGGTATAATGAGTCAGCTGAAAAAAAAAAAGGATTTTATAACTCACCCAGAAACAGGATCATTTCCAATACCTGTATTCAGTTATAAATAGTTACTGAGTACCTACTATGTGCTAGATACATACTTACATGTGTTATATCATGTGGAGTACATGTATTGTCTCAGATAATCTTGACAGCGCCGTCACTGTCAGCCACTGTCAGAAACTAGTCTGAATTAGATTCTCATTTTTCTCATGATAAAACTGAGAATTAGGGATGATAAGTAGCCAAAGGCCACAGGGCTAGTAAGCGGTGGAGCTGGAATTCAGCCCTGTCCTAGAACCCCACTAAGGCATTAGGCTACACACTGCACTGTATTCCAGAAATGCTAGCAATGATCTAACCTAACCCATTGCATCATTTCAGCAGTGTGGTTTAGTGATGAGTAGCACAGATTATGTAGTCAGAGGGCCTATGTTTGAATTCTTACACCACCTCTTCTGAACTGGGCGACCTTGAGCAAAATTACTTAACCTGTTCAAGCCTCAGGTTGATCCTGTGTAAATGGGGTTAATACTAGCACCCACCCCAGAAGTTGTTGCTATGTATGTTAAGCTGTATGGTACATTATAATTGGTCAGTAGTTTGGTATTTCATGGTGTTCCCATTTACACTTTTTTCATTCGATTCCCACAACAACCAAGTCAGAGGGCAGGATAGGTACAATACACTTTTTACAGAAAAGGAGCTGCCCCAGAGTCATAGATACACAACTTGTAAGGCTTATGAGAGTCTTCTTTGTTAGCCACATAGCTTTTTCGCCTTTTGGTAGCATACTTAATAGATCTTGGAGTATTTAAAAGTTGCTGAGGTTCAGAAAAAAATCAGTTAAATGAACTTGGCATGTCCAAAACCTGTTATACTTCAAAAACCTCTTTAGTGGGTGCCATGTTATATTAAGCTGAGGAAAATTCTTTTAGACTTAACCCTTTGTTTTGTGAGGTAGAGTGCTAAGGGCATTTCTACAACTGGTTTTGGATACTATTAGCTATTGTATTTTGGAATCAATACCTGTACACAGCCTGTCTTCCAAGCATGTGGTTTGTTCCTGTGCAGGGTTTTGTGAAGGTGTGGCTGCCCAAGCTTCAGTACTTATTACAAAAGTTAATCATTTAGCTATGATGTTAATAGTTAAATGTTTTCAGAGAGCAGCAGGGATGGTAAAATTCAAAAACCCCTCTTACTACCTTTAAAAAAAATGAGAAAACTAAATAGAACTTGAGTTGAATGAGAAGCATGTAATTCTCCAGTTCCATCTGGAAAGCTATTGAATAGGCAAGAAAAATGGAAATTTGCCTCTGAAATACGCTTTGTTTCTCCCCACAAAGTTAAATCTCTGAAGTGAATATTTATGGATTACTTTTCAGTGGCAGTAGCCACATGAATCCAAACTTTTTTTTCTGTCCAGTGAGTACAGCTGCAGGTCCAATCAAGAGGACGATGTTGTGGGGGAGGGGACGAGAATACCTGGAGCTTTATAAAATGTCCACTAAGCTTGTTAAAAACAAGGAAACAAACAAAACAACAAAACTTAAAACTATGCATTATCAATAGTTGGGAGCTTCTGAATCAGAAAAAAAGGTGTAAAGAATGGTTGTGTTTTGTTATGTTATAAGAAGGCAGGAGGAGAAAATTATAGGATTTCTCATCAATGTTTAAAACCTGGGTTTGAATTCTGACTCTGACGCTCCCTGTAATATTTGACTTCACTTTCCTCAAAGCAGATCATGAGGCTTAAATAAAATGACTGGGTGAATATAGCTAGTATGGTGCCATACGCTAAAAGGAACATAATACAAATGTCAGAAAAGTATTGTGTGGAGCTGCTTTGCCAAAACTTTACTCTCAACATTTTGAGTCACTTTTATAGATCCAAGATCTGATCCATGAGCATTTGTAGGACCTGTTCATTACTTCCTGTTGGATGCTAAACAGAATTGCATCACTTATTTCTTAGGAAATGAAATACAGCTTAGAATTAGGTTTACTCTGTTGGCTGAGGTGATTCCCTTCCTGATGCCCCCAGATTGATGGGTAAAGGTAAGTCCGACATAATAATAATGCTAATAATAAAAACAACCACTTATCTAGTAGTTAGCATGTGCCAGGCACCATGGAGAGGATTTATTATACATTATCTCATTTTAATCTAACTACAGTTTTATGAACTAGATATCTGTATTTTATTCCCATTTGCAGAAATTGAGATTGACTCCTGGCAATGTTAAGTAACTTAACTGCTGACATGTAACTCATAAGTGGCAGACACAGAATTCTAATCCAGCTTGGCTGACTTCAGAGTCTCTCTATACCACTACAGACACAACACTTATTCTTCTAATGGCAAGACATGTCTTGAGTAAATGACAAAAAAATTACTATGGTAGGAGAAACCCATAGTTGTAGAATTCTCTATGGTAGGACTCTGACAATAAACTTAAACCTCTTGGGATGAACTCTGACTTCTTTCCTTCAGGGCTTTGAATATAGCCGCTCTGGAAACCCCACCAGGAATTGCTTGGAAAAAGCAGTGGCAGCTCTGGATGGGGCTAAGTACAGTAAGTGATTTCCATTTCCACCTTTGTTAAGTCTGGAATCTATTCTTATATGGATAGAGAAAATCATAGAGGCACAGAATGTAGACTTGGAATGAAATAAGGATTACCTAGTTCAAAACTCTTATTTTACTAAGACATTAAATTATTTGCCCAAGGTCCCACAGCTGGTAGACTATATATATATATATATATATATATATATATATATATATATATGATTACTAGGTAAAAATAAGTGTGAATAAAGGCAAAATAGCAGAATTTGCCTTTTGGTATTCATGTAAACAAATGTACTCTTTATCTGAAGCTGTCAGTCTAAATAGAGAAAAATTAACTTAAGTGTTAGGACACAATCTAAGGTTCAGTTACCTGATAATTTGTGCCTAAGAATAGCAGCAAGGTACATTTGCAATAGGCAGGTGCCATTGATAATGTGCTTTCAGAGATTAAGAATTAATTTCTTGAATCCCGTTTTTTTTTTCATGAACGGAATGGATTGCTGTTACATCATCTTTGTGTATTTTTATACAAATGTTACCAAATGGGGGATGAATAGTAAATAGAAGTAAGAGTCTTATGAGTTTTCTCATAGCAAGAGTGGAGGAATTAGAAATGTTAATGTGAATTATTGGGTTTGTTTGGCATTTGGGGTTGTTTTTTGTTTTGGATGAGATTAAACACGAAACTGCTGAAATTTGGTACTGTATGGGCAATATTGTTTCCTGCAGAGGTATAAAGGCTGAGTTTTCACATGTCAGACACTTTTCAAGTGGGCTCCAGAAAACATGGTTGCTTTTAACTGGATGTTGAAGTTTAGCCTTCTGTGTGAATCCATTGTTGGGCCACGTACCTGCTTTGTGGAGAAGTGTAATCCTAACCTGAACTTTTCTGAGCAGACTTTACAATAAATTCATTTTTCAAGTTAATTGCATTATCCCTTCTTCCACCCACAGGTGAATTTTTTCATCAAGGTGATCTATTGATATTTTGTCAGAATATTTTCTTTTATAATGTTTAATGTGCACAATGTCAGTTATTGTTTTATTATTCATTTTTATTATGTTTGTTCAACATGAGATCACATTTAAGAGATTCCACATTAAAAATAATAATAATACTAATAATACAATTTATTAAATTTCTCAGACATGTGGTAGGTCTGATTTTGAGTTTTGTTAAATCCTTTGCTCAGTTGCATATCCATATAATTCACGAATCATATCTTGGTTCGGTTCCTTGAGTGTGAAATTTCTTTATAGAGTTTACTGTTTTTCAGCTGTAATTGAATTGGCAACTGGCCTATTATCTCATACTTTTTTTTTTTTTAATTTTTATTGGGGAATTGAGGGAAGGGGAACAGACAAGTTGCTGTCCTTTTGTTCTTCAGTCTAGTTGTGGAGGACGTTGCTTCACTGGCCCAAGTTGGTACCATCATTGCGCTCTTCCCGGTGATGCAGATCAGTCGCCGGCTTCTGGATGGCTGTTCATGCGGCTGCTGGCTGCTCACGCTGGTTGCTGGCTACACACGGTAGCCCATGGCAACCCACTGCAGCAGGGGCTGCAGCCTATGTGGTCGC